TTGTACAAAGAAATTTTTTAAAGTTCATTTGGATTTTTTTTAAAAGCTTTAGCAATTATTTTACTCGATATTGTAAATTTTTTTAGACAAATATTGGTTAACAACTGTAGCTAAACTATATTTCTTTTTGTTCACTATAGTAGAAATTAGGTTTAGTTAGACAAAAGTGTTTAAATTCTTTGAATTTTAGTATAAGTTGTAAAACAAAGTTTTAGCCATACAGATGGATATTTTTTTCTTGTAATATTTTAGTATTACCAGTAAAATTTAATTTTAACTATACATATATAAGTTTGTTAAATTTTTGTAATATTAAAGCATTCGTCATAAAAATAAGTTTCAATCAGACAGATCGGCTTATATTCTTGATAATATTGTGTTTAGTAGAAAAATTTTGTTTTAGTCAGACTGTTACTATAACCTACTTTTACTACTTTCAAACACTTTATTTTTGTACGGCCTTTTATGTTGGTCTCTGATAACTTCAAAATCGATGTTTAAAAAAAAATTTAATTATTATTTTATATTATTATTACCCATAAATTAGTAATAATTAAAAATTTTCCTGAAAAATTATTTTTGTGGTTTTTAGTGGCTCTCAAATTTTTTGAATTTTAATTCTTTTGACTCCTGAAATTTCCTTTAGAATCAATATGAAGCTTAATTTTAATTCTTTTTAATTATGAAATTTAATTCTAAATAAACCTGAATCAATTCCTTTCCAAGCCAATAGGATTGATTCGAAATAAAATTTCAGAATTCAAGAGAATTCAAATTAAGTTTCGGAATGAAACAAATTGATTCGGAAAGAATAAAAATCAGATTTGAAAAAAATTAAAAAATTCATCTTCTGAACGAATGGGATTGATTTGAGATGAATATTTTCTTGAGTCACATTAAAATGTAGATTAAAATAGAAACTACACGGAAAAAATTAATTCATTATATTGTAAAAAAACTGTGACGGAGTAGCGGATACAGCTCTTTACAAAACTGAGTTTTGTAAAATGTGATAAATATTTTCGAATAAACTATAGAAATTTTGTTGTTTATATACTTAATATTTTTGGAGTTAATTCTGAAAATTCTTGATATTTTGCAACACTCAGTTTCGTAAGGAGCTGTATCCGCTAATCCGTGATAGTTCTGTAAAATCTAATGAATTAATTTGTTCCATGTGATTGGCAAGGAAAGAAATTTCAGAATGTCTTATTAAAATTTATTGAAATTTAATTCAATACTTTCGTCATAAAGGCATAATGTTAAAAACTTATTTAAATTTTTTTTTTGCAAACAGGGAAAACTGGGGAGGCCCTGACCATAAACCTACTTCAAATAGGGAAAATTAGGTCAATTTCTACACAAAAATATTTATTTTTCTCTTATTTAAAAATTACTTTATTTTCTACCCAGGAATCATGATGAACAATAAATCAATAGGTTAACTAAAATATCCCAGATAGCACGTAAGCTTGCAGCAATCTTGCGGCAAGCTTGCCACGCAATATTGCTAACCTTGCACCGCAAACTTGCCGCAAGCTTCAAATGTCCCACCTGACCCAAGCTTGCCTGGTAAGCTTACCGAAAGAATGCAGTGTAAGATTATTGCAAGATTGCGGTGTAAGGTTACTGCAAGATTGCACAATAAGATTATCGCACTTTGAACCTAAAATTTTTTTTTTTTTCAATTTTTCGTCTTATTTATATATTTTTATTATATAAATTTTACTATATAAATTAAACAAAACATTTCTATTTTAAATTTTATAATTTCAATGTAATGTTATTTGGCAATCTTGCACCAACCTTGCTACAAGCTTACCGTGCAAGCTTATATACTGAACAATCTTGCGATAATCTTATTGTGCAATCTTGCAGTAACCATACTGCAATCTTTCGGTAAGCTTACCATGCAAGCTTGGGTCAGGTGGGAAATGCTATCTGGGATATATGAAGGGTAGAATGACAAAAGGGGTCAAGCGCCAATTCACTGTTTTTACAGGAAGTAAAAAAACATTTTTAAAAATTTTGCAGGTCATTTAAAAAAAAACTGAGAAAACCGTTTCGATATATTAAGGTAAATGTCCCAATTAGTGTCCTACTAAGAATGTAACTTTAGTTAATAAAGAAAAAACTCGATTTATATTCTTCCATGGAGATAATTTTTCACATTATTATAAAGGTAATCATTTTTTGAGCAGAAAATAATTTTTATTTGAGTATTATTATCAAAATATTTTAAATTTTCTTTTTTTTTTAAAGTGATGTTATTGTACCAATTTGTGTCCGACGAATTTTAGGTTGCCCCTATTTGTGATCTGAGGTGTACCAATTAGTACTCAGCAGCCATATTTGTGTCAAGAAATGTAACTAAAGGAAATAGATGTTCACTATTTGGTACACAAACATAAAAATATGCTTTGTCCTAATTAGTGTCTTTAAAAAATACTCGATGTTCTTACACTGTCACATTTTTCACATATTTAAATAATTTTAGGTTAAAATATAAAAACTCTCACAATAATTTTCAAAATTAAGAGTTGTAGAATTAATAAATGAAGTAGTTTTCAGAAAAATGTAATAATTTCTTTAATTAAAGTTGTGTTATTGTATGTAAACACAAATAGGATCATTCTCATTGTAGTGTACGTATTTGTATTTTTAGATATACATAAAAATTAACTTACCTTTGCATGAAAAAAAACCTCCAAACAGTAAAATTATATTATCTTGAATTATTTACTTAACAATTTAATTCAATATTAGACGTTAATTATCCTGTGCTAACAACATTCTGTTAACCTGTCTAATGACAATCTTTATAAGATGGCGGCATACTTTCCTCGTTTTGGCAGAGAGGGCGGCAGTGCAAATTTTCAAAATTTAATTTATAATTATTAAAGAATACTAAGACCCTAAATGCAAATCTACACGAAAGGTATATAATGTAATATTCAAAAAATATTTTTTTGAATATTTTTCTAAATTGTTTTTTATTTTATTTCGTGCATAAATGTGCAAGTGGACACAACCCAGATAACAAAATGCCTGCATAATAGCAGGCCGTGTGCCAGACCTCAGTCCGATTGATCGGACCAACGTGCCGGCACATAAGCAGCGCAATGTACGCGCCATTGCTGGCGATATCGCCCGCCCGCGGTCCGATCCATTAAAGTACAGAAAATGTTTTTTACTAAAATAAAAATTGAAACTGCGTCTATGTAGATACGTTTAATGATTATTTAAACAATTTCAGTAAAAAAATTACAAGTGCTGATTAACATTTTGAAAATGTGCTCTGGTAACTTTTTTTATCAGATAATCAACCATCTCATTGATTAAATAGCTAAAAAAATAGTGTTATTTCATTAGTAAAAAATGAGCTGTTTTCGGAATTTAATCACGGAAATGCATATATTTAATTCAGTATGATTATTTACAATATTTATCTTAAAGTTAAATTATCTCACGCACGCAAGGGGAATCGAAACCGCGACCTAACGCAAACTAAACCTAATGCTTAACCAACTGATCTATCAACGCACTTGCTTTTATTTACAAGAATTCTGTCCTAAAAATGAACTATAAAATACTTTTATTTAAAATTATTGTTTTTCAAAATTTCATTTATTCAAATATTCTTCTTAGAATTAATTATTTTTATTATAAATAGATCAAACATTTTGAATATTATTATATAGATTGTAATAATTTTCAAAATATTCTATGATTATTTTTTGTGTTATTAAGAATATTCGTATAATCGCATGATTGTTAAATGCAATATATAATTATTATATTCATTAAAATAATAAATTTTTCACTAATGATTAATTATATTTACGAATTCATCAAACTTAAGTAGCAAACAAGTTACAAAAGAAATTCTAAAATTATTCTTGTAAATTATATCGATGGCCCCTAAATGAAAACACGTTTTTTGCGAGTGCAGATAGGAAACACTTTATTAAGAAAAACAAATAGAAAACATCTTATTCAAAATGACAGTTGTTTGAAGGCTATGTTACAATTTTAATTAATGTTTATTTTTAAAGTATGAATGATACATTAAAATTTAAATTAATTTAAACGTTTATGTTGTGTCAAACTAACGTTGTATCCTTAAATTACTTTATTTAGACATTTGATATTGGCTTAAAATAAAAACGTAGCAAAAGTTAAAAAAATTAGGTTACAAAATTTTCAGATGAGTTTTCTATTTTTTTAGTAAATAAGGGTGATTTTTATTTGCTCTCGCGAATAACGTGTTTTCATTTAGGAGCCATCGATATAAATTCTCAATGTAACATTAATAATTAAATCCATCTTTATTTTATTAATTCATTAATTTATTTCTTTGTTAAAGTAAGACAAAATAAATATTTCGAAGTCAAACTTATTAGCTTTATTAAAAGTTTTCATAGTTTTTTTAAAATTTATTCCATCCAATTTTCAATTTATTATTCAATTAATTCAATTCGTTTTATGAATTTTTATTTGTTTAATATTTAGTACAATTTTTAAAAAACTTTTCAGTTAATCGTTTAATTTTTTTAAGGATTTTCTTTTTTTCCCACACATCACATTATATTTCATAAACATTTCATGAATATTTCATTGAAAGATTTGAAATATTTCAATGCAAGGTTCATGAAATGTTGATGAAAACAGGAAAATGTCCGCCTATAAGAAATATTGCCGTGAAATTTTGCTGAAATATTACACATTAAGACTCCTGCAATATTACAAATGAAGACTCTGCAATATTCAGAAAATATTTCAAAGAAAGTTAGAAACTTTTTTAAAATATGAAGTCAATCGTTATTTTCTAACATGTTCAACACCTTAGGGTCCTTAGCATCATTTAAGTTGGAATTTTTCTATAATATTTTAATGAAATATTTCAGCAAAATTACCCGTCAATATTACTTATAGGCGGACATTTCCCTAATTTCAGCAATATTTCAAGGACTTTACATTGGAATATTTCAAAATTTCAATGAAATATTTCAGAAATATTTAGAAAATATCATGTGCTGTGTGTGTTTATACGTTATTTTCTCATTTTGTTGTTAAGTTCCTTTATAATTTTTTATCATTCTTTGCTCATTTAATAAATTTTATAGTTTTTCATAATTTTTTCATTTCTTAGAAATGTTGTCCCTTCTCTAAACTGAATAACTTTTTCCTTATATTATTCTTTTTTAATAGATTCTAGTCAGTTTTTTTTGCATTTTTTCCTGTATTTTTACAAATTTCCCAATCGTTCCTATATTTCAATAGTTTTTTGTTCTCTTATAATATTTTCTTTAATTTTTTAAAAATATTTCTGTAAATCATTTCAATTTTTTTTAATTTTCAGATTCTTTTTATATTCGTTTATAAATTCTTCTATTTTCTTACAACATTTTATTTTATACAATTTTTAACATTTCATAATTTTTTTAAAATTTAAAGCTGTTTAGTTTTTGTTGGATTTGTATCCTTCGCGGTATATGCTCTATTGACTCTAGCGGTTACGAGTCTACGTCATGTCCGTATGCGCACGCACTCCCTCACACTCTTGCTCAGTAGCTTCGATCGTGTGTTCATTCATCGATAGTCTCTCTTAATAAACGACCGTTTCTGTGAATTATATCTGTGCTTCTTTTACTGAAACCTATCCCAAAATAAGCGCATGCCGACAGGTTATGGGCCCGGCAACAATTCTGCTGCGCTAGGATTAGTAAAAGAAACTTTTTTCGAGAATTAATCATCGTCGCGTTCGGCGTGCTCGCGGCGTGTACAGACTTGCCTCGCGCGTCCATTGTGATCAAGTGCCCAGGATTGTAACGAGTGAACTACGAGTTTTTACGAACAGTTAAAAGGATTTAAACGACCGTTTGCAATGACTGCGACAATTAAAAAGGTGATAGATAGATGCAGAAAGGCCCTGGAATTAGAAAGTGAAATTATAGAAGTCCGGATAGGGATAGACGATTCCTTCTTCAAGGCAACTTTTGCTGAAGGAGAAACGATCAGTTTGAGTAAGTAGAGTGATTTACTAAACAACGACCAGTACTTGATTTTTCTCTTAAATCAATTAATAAAAGAAATATTAATGAGTGTGTAATAATTTCTATATTGCAATATAATAATTAAACGATTTGTGAACGAAACAGCAATTATAAGAAACGACAGTCGGTCAATACTTTTCCTACCTTATCTGTTATGGTTAAGTAAATAAATTGACCGATAGATGACACTTGACTACTATTTACAAATAGAGTCTGTGTTTTTCACAGCTGAAACAAAATTAAAAACAAGTTCGAACTAAATAAAATTACGAGTGTTTAACGAATTTTTAATAATTATTTATATCTAAATAATTTATTTTAACGAGTGTTTTATTTAACGATTAGAATCAGTGCACTTAATCTATTTCATGAATTATTTACAGCAAAAAAATCATTTGATATAAAACATAAATTCTCAGTATATACTTGAGTTTATATTAATTTTCGACGTCGTTAAAATAAAATGCATTTTACTAAAATGAAGGACCAAGTATTTCCACGAAAAGTTTTATTTTACGAAAAGTGTTATAGAGTGAGAATTTTTTTGAAAAATTTTTAATGACAGTTGCCTATATAACGAAAGTTTCTTTTTTTTTACTGAATATATTAGTAACGACAAGGGCATTTATGTGCAAGAATAAAATAATTAATTTTATTTCTAAATCTAATTATTGACGATAGTTTTAATTAATTGACTAGTAATTTATAATTTTTCAAATCTCACTTCTTTTAATCAAAAGACACATGAAACCGTTCTTCTGGTTTGTTTTTATTTCTGAGGGAATTGTGTTCATTCCTGAAGACTGATAACAACTAAATCTGTTTATGTTGCGTTTGTTGGTAACAAGCGTAACTTGACTGATTCTTTCTGATTCATTCTGACATGTGTTCTGTTTTTATGTTTCAAGAAAAGACTTTTAGTTTCTCGAGATTTTCGATTTAATTAACGACTGTGTATTTTGACAATTTATTTCAAAATTTTATTTTAAGGCAAGAATTCACTGAAAAACGATTGGGACAATTTGGTGAAAGAAATCCGAGAACTTGAGAGGTTAGCTCCACCAAACGGCGACGTCAAATGCATAAGAGATGCTAGTCCAAGTGATTTGAAGGCCAAAGATCCAAGTGACACTTCTCTAACAAGACCGGACCAAATGTTGACAGATAAAGAAGTCATGAAAGACATCAATGATTTTATTAATGGCATTGAACAAAATTCAGGTGATTATTTGAAAACGAATGGTTTACGACTGTTTACGATTATATTTCTGTATATTTTTAACGAATTGTTTAACGATATGTAATGACAGTACGATGGTGTTGTCGACAACAAATTTAAATTAATGACAGTTTTATAAACTAAAATTTTATCTGGCAGGTGTGTCGCCAGGAACTACAACGAGCGGTCCTGGAAACGACGAAATTGATCCAGTTAATCTCGATATGGAGAATAACATTCCTCCAATTGGTCCAAATCATCCTGACATGACTTCCGACAACAAAAATCAAAACGATGACAGTAAAGACGGTAGTAAAGACGGTACTGACAATTTGTTAACAAATGACAGTAATAAAAACTTGGTTAACCCTTTCAGTCACGCAATTCAGATAATAACTAAAACATTCAAAATGCTATTGTATTTATGGTTTTTGGGGTCGCTGATTACGAATATGAAGTCAGATTTGCAAAATATTAAAAATTCAAAATGGCGGATCCAACATAGCGGGTAATTTTTTTAAAATCATTCTAATTTTCCTGAAATTTGTTACTCGGGGGTTTTCGGGGTCGCTGATTACGAATCTAAAGTCAGTTTTAAAAAATTCAAAATGGCGGATCCAATATGGCGGACGACAAAATTAAAAATTCATCCCATCGGCATGAAACTTGTTACTCGGTGGTTTTCGGGGTCGCTGATTACGAATCTAAAGTCAGTTTTTAAAAATTCAAAATGGCGGATCAAATATGGCGGACGACGAAATAAAAAATTCATCCCATCGGCATGAAATTTGTTACTCGGGGGTTTTCGGGGTCGCTGATTACGAATCTGATGTCAGTTTTTGAAAATTCAAAATGGCGGATCGAATATGGCGGACGACGAAATTAAAAATTCATCCAATCGGCATGAAACTTGTTACTCGCCATATTGGATCCGCCATTTTGAATTTTTAAAAACTGACTTTAGATTTGTAATCAGCGACCCCGAAAACCCCCGAGTAACAAGTTTCATGCCAATTGGATGAATTTTTAATTTCGTCGTCCGCCATATTAGATCCGCCATTTTGAATTTTCAAAAACTGACATCAGATTCGTAATCAGCGACCCCGAAAACCACCGAGTAACAAGTTTCATGCTGATTAGATGGATTTTTTAAAAAGTCGTCCGCCATATTGGATCCGCTATTTTAAATTTCGCAAAATTCGTAAATTTTGCAAAAATTTTGAAAATATAACATCGATTTTGTAAATATTCGTAATCAACGAGCTCAAAAACTCCCAGGAAATAATTTTTTAGCGAGTCCGATTAATTTTTAATTTTTTCATGCGCCATATTAGATCCACCATTTTCAATTTTCAAAATTTTTCAATTCTGATATTATATTCGTAATTTGCGACCCTTAAAACCCCTAGTTAGTGATTGTCAAGCAAATATGATGGATTTTTATATTTTTTTCAGCCTTACCAAAAGGTGGTTAATATATTGACCACTGTGACTGAAAGGGTTAATAAAAAATTACACAAAAACCACAGTTCTGACAATGAAATTAATTCAAAAAATAAAAACGAAGTGACTTCTGAAAACGACAGTACTCAAAAGGACAGTAATAAGAAAGACAGTAAAATAAATAACAACGACAGTATTGATAATAAAAATTTAACGAATAATAATGATAAAGGGGCAGCTGGCCCTATTCAAAGCACAAAACGACAGTTCAATAGTGACGAAAATTCCGATCCAAGCAACGGCAAAATGGAGAGACGAATAAATGTTTTGGATTCGAGAATGGGTCAACTAGAACACATGATGGATTTAACCCTTAATATGACAACGAAAATGCATGAAACCATGCAAACATGGCTTGACCGTTGTAAACCGGAAAATAAGGTAAAAAAACCTAGAATTATTGAAAATACAATAATGCCTCAAAATTTCAAAATGACGACAGTTACCAATGAAAATTCTAGTTTTTCCAGTCCGAATTTACAATTTATTAATAAAAATAATCCGACAGTCACACAAAGTACCACGACAGTTAATAATACGAATAATTCAAATACGATCGCGAATCAATTAAAGGAGACAATTAAAATTGAATTAATTGGTAAAGACAGTGGAATTAAACATGATTACAAATTAAATTCTCAAACAAAATTTGAACATTTTTACGAGTTTTTAACATCCGAATTACGTACGATTGATTTGCTTTATATTATAGATACGACAGTTGCTCCACCGGAAGGACTAAACGAAAAATTAAAAGAAAAACATAAATTCAAAGTTCGGGATATTCTTATAAATCGAGTCGATAAAATTTATCATACACGTGTTTTGCACATTAAAGATCCAATTGAAATTATTAATAAATTACGAGAGTTTAAACGATGTGAAATAAATTTAACGAGTGTTACCTTACGAAAACAACTTTATTCAATTCAATATGATATAAAACGAGAATCGGCCGCAAAATTTTTAGAACGTTTTGAAGAAATTATCTTAAATTACGAAAATATCCCGGGTTCAACTGTATTATCGGACGAAGAGAAACGCGATGCACTTTTCAGTTCAATTTCAACTCAACTACCCGAAGTTCAATCCGTTGAATTTATGACTAAAAATCAGACCGGTAAAAGTCTAAAATATGAAGCCCTCAAATTATTTATTATACAGGCGGAAGCAAATCAAGCACAAGCAGCAACCAAGAACCATCCTGGTTCAAAAACGACTGCTATGGCCTCCGTACAATTCGCAAATTCGGGTCAACGACAGTGGGTAAACGAACGATGTTACGAGTGTGACGATTATGGCCATATGAAGAACGAATGTCCCTTGAAAGGTCAAGGTTTACGAAAATGCTACGAGTGTCAAAAATTCACAACTCATAAAGCTTATGAGTGTGAAAAACGACTGGCTAGAAACAGAGGCAGAGGCAGAGGAATCGCATGTAAGTTTTCCAATAATAATTTAAATAATAGATCAAATTTTCCTCACGCTAATTCAAAACGACAGTTTAAATCACATTCAAATCGAGGCAAAAAATATTTTAAATCATTCAGGTCTAATTACGATAAAAATAAATATACTTACAAAAAGAACAATGATAAAAATAAAAAACGATCAGTTGACAATAAAACAAATTCACAATCACAACAAAGACAGCCACGAACGGGTACGAGTGAAACGCCAAAGGTTGGTTTCATGGAAATCAAGAAAAATAATACAGGTATGTTAAATAAAATTACAACACAAAATACATCATTGTCAATGTCTAGCACTGTTTCCGCCTTAAAAACAGAAACGATTTCGCCCGTTTACTTATATAGTCTTTCAAAGGCGAATAAATTTGAAAATAAAAGTCACAAATATATTTCATTTATTGTAGACACAGGTGCGACAGAACATATTACGAATTCGAAAAATATTTTTGATAGGCTGAATAAAGTCGATTCTAATATTATTAAATGCGCGAATAAAGACAGTAATGCTGATCTGTTAGCCGAAGGTAAAGGAAATGTTAATTTAATCTCTAATTGCAACAAATCCTTGAAATTAACGAACGTGATTTATACCGATTCGGTTTCGGAAAATTTGCTTTCACTTAGACGACTGACAGAAGCAGGTTTTTCCACTCATTTAGACGATAAGCGCGTTAATATTTTTCATTCCGACTCAAAAAATCTACTCGCGACGGGGGTATATGAGAAACCATATTGGTTTCTTGAATTTAAAATTGATAGGAAGAGTTTAAATGAAAATTCAATGACAACTATTTTTGACACGACTGTATTTGACGAAAGTACTAAACAACATAATGAATTGACTGATAAAAATATCAAAACTAACAATGAAACGAATGATTTAATTAATACGACTAAAAATGAAGTGACGAATGAATTCGAAGTTTTAAATAAAATCTCTGAAAAAGAATTTAACGATAAAGTTCAAGAAAATACCGAAACGATTAATAATAAAGTAATATCCGATTTTGACAACTCCATAATAAAAAGAAAAATAACTAATGTTGACGAGTTGCCCGAAGTTGATGTTTTAGACGAATTTACCCCATTTAACAACAATAGATATAACGAGTTTTTGAAAAAGAACAAAGCCATGCTCTGGCATGTACGAATGGGCCATGCGTCATGTGGTTATTTAAGAAAATTACAATCATTGTGGAAAGATAATAAAGACCTTCAGTCTGTAGTTTTTGACGACAGTATTCTCGATTGTGAAATATGCGCTCTTACGAAACTTAATAAATTACCCTTTCATAATAAAAGAAATCGAGCTTCACGACCGTTACAAATCATTCACTCCGATGTAATGGGTAAAATATCTCCGCCCACACAGTCACATAGTTATCAATATATCGTTGTTTTTATTGATGATTTTTCGCGACTGGCTTTATCTTACCCTATGAAAACGAAAGATGAGACGGGTCTATGTTTAGAAAAATTCATTAAAAGTATTCGAAATTTGCTAGGAACTAACGAAAAGGTTTGCTATTTGCGTTCAGACCAAGGAACCGAATTTATGGGAGGTTATACAAACGAAGTTTTATTACGTGAAGGTATAGAACGACAGTGTGCGAATCCAGACACTCCTCAACACAACGGAGTTTCTGAACGATTTAATCAAACGATCCAAAAGAAAATTCGATCGATCATGTTTGATTCGAAACTTCCACCAAACATGTGGGATTTGGCATTGGGAACGGCGGTTTATGTTTATAATAGAACTCCACACAAATCAATTGACTTTGAAACTCCTTTGAATAAATTTGCGCCTAATTTTCACTTCGACTTGAATCAAATAAAACGATTTGGTTGTTTAGCCTACTGGTCCGTTACGAGAAAACCAGATTCTAAATTTTCGGCACGAGCGGTACGAGGTATACTTGTAGGGTACACGACATCCGGTTACGTTTTTCTCAATCCTGAATCCGGAAAATTCTTTGAATCTCGAAATGTTCGTTTCAACGAGAAACTTGTTTTCGGTGACAAATATAATAAAGACTCGATACAAAATTGGCCTCTTCCAGAAACGACTTTCTCCATAAACGACTGGTTTATTAAATTTGAAGACAGTAACGAAAAAGATGTACAAAATCAAAACGCGTTGTCAGAAACGGAGGGAGCTCAAACGAAGAAACGCGGCAGACCACGAAAAAGACTGTTAGAAACGGAGGGAGAGAATTCGAATGAAATTTCAGTAAAAACCAAAAGGATTAAAGTCACAAGAGAACCTTACGAGACGCGTAGTCGGAAAATAGCTGATATAAGTTTTGCCGAAATTTCCAAAAGTACGAATGTTTCAAATAGTTATACTTTTCCGAGTATTGAAGACGAGTTTAAACTAACAGAAAATAAAACAGACGACGAAATTTTATTTTGTTTTCACTCTGAAATCAATAACGATCCGTCAACTTTCAAACAAGCGATAGAATCTAAAGACAAAAACGAGTGGTTAAAAGCGATCGACGACGAATTAAAATCATTAAACAAAAACCAAGTATGGACAATAGTAGATCGACCGAAAATTGGCAAAGACGGTAAAAAGCCCAACATTATCGATTCGAGATGGGTTTTTAAACGAAAGTACGACAGTCTCAGTAAAATAAAATTTAAAGCTAGATTAGTAATTCGAGGATTTAAAGACACAAACTCATACGACTTGAAAGAAACTTATGCTCCGGTTTCCAGACTTACTCTAGTACGAACAGTTCTCGCGATAATTAACTATTACGACTTGGACGCGTGTCAATTAGACGTTAAATCTGCCTTTTTAAACGGAATTTTAGAAGACGAGATTTACATGGAAATTCCAGACGGTGTAGAAATTCCTCAAAATTCACGACAGAACAAAGTTTGCAAGCTTCACAAAGCAATTTATGGTTTACGAGTCAGTCCAAAACAGTGGAACAAAAAGTTCTCTGAAGTTGCACTTTCATTAGGTTTGATTAACGACGATTACGAGCCTTGTTTATTCACTTGGCATTCTGGCAATTCGATAGTTATATTACTAATTTATGTTGATGATATTTTATTAGCTAGTAACGACAGTAAGAAAATGTTAGAAATCAAAAACGAACTAATGACTTCTTTCGAAATGACAGATTTAGGCGAACCTAAACATTACCTAGGTATGGACATTCGAAGACAAAGAAACTTAAAAACGATGACAGTCACTCAAGAAAATTACATTGAGAAAATCTTAACGAAATTTGGTTTTGAAAATGAATTCCCCAAAAATACACCAATGACGACACGACAGGTTGCTAATCGTGAACGTAGGGAACGAGAAGAAAATGACAGTTACGAAATTTGCGAAAAACCCCTTGACATTCCGTACCGTGAAACGATTGGTAGTCTTTTGTACTTATCTGGAGCTACTCGCCCAGATATAGCCTACGCTGTAAATGTCTTGAGTAGACATCAAATTGATCCGACCGAAAACGAGTGGAAAATGGTCAAAAGAGTTTTTCAGTATCTGAAGGGGACGAAAAGTTTAGGCCTTAAATTTTTAGGTAGACGAGACGATTTGTTAGCTTATTCGGATGCGAGTTTTGCGGACTGTAAAGATTCTATTTCGACATGTGGTTTTCTGATACGACTGTTTGGAGACACTATTGCTTGGCGAGCAAATAAACAAACTTATGTTGCGTTATCAACTTGCGAAGCTGAATTTGTCGCTATGAGTCAAGCTTGTCAAGAAATAATTGCATCTAATAAATCTCTAATGAGAATTTTTAAAGACAGTTTTCTTCCCGCGACTTTAAAATGTGATAACAAAGCTTCAACAATTTGTGCAAAGACTAACGGTGGAAATAGGCTAAGACATATGACAGATGTTCATCAAGATTACGTTAAAGAGTGCGTTAAATACGATCGTGTTAATATTGAATGGGTTTCGACTAAGAAACAATTGGCTGATATAATGACAAAGCCTCTTAGTTTTGAAGTACATACCAATCTACGAGATAAAATTCTTAATAACGACTGTTCTTAATTCAATAAAAGATTTTATCGTATATGACAGTATTTAAAAAATTTAAAGGACAATAAAAAAAATTTAAAATTCTTTTACGACTGGTTTATGATAATATATATATGTTTCTGTATTATATTTGCTTCAGATAGCGATTAGCCATGAGCCTTCTGACTGACAATGGAAGACTGGATTCTAATTGATCTCAATGACAGTGCCATAAAAGATGATTCCAAAGACTGTTTTGATGGAAAATAATCAGTATTTAACCAGAAAAAGTGATTTTACGAAATACTTCGTTTCTAATTACAGTATTTTTGTATTGTTCGATTTATATTTTTATATCAAGTTAACTTTAATTATTTTAAGTACTTTAATAATATTTTATAATACAACGAGTCAATCTCGGGAGGGAGTGTTGGATTTGTATCCTTCGCGGTATATGCTCTATTGACTCTAGCGGTTACGAGTCTACGTCATGTCCGTATGCGCACGCACTCCCTCACACTCTTGCTCAGTAGCTTCGATCGTGTGTTCATTCATCGATAGTCTCTCTTAATAAACGACCGTTTCTGTGAATTATATCTGTGCTTCTTTTACTGAAACCTATCCCAAAATAAGCGCATGCCGACAGTTTTTGTTTTGGGCATTTTTAAATATTTTAAGCTTTTTTCGTTCTTTAAAGCTTTGTTCTTACATTTTTTAAACTCCTTCATTTTATGAATAATCTTCTTAACTTTCTTATATTTTAAGAATTTTCTTTTCTTAACATTTCTATAGTGTGTTTTACAAAACTTAAGTTATTAGGATTTTTATAATTATTAAACTGCTTAATTTATTAAAAATTTGTTGGCTTATATTTTTCTCATCTTTTTGATAATTTACTTTACTTTTTAAATTTTGTATTCATGATTTTTTAGATATTTTAAAAAGTATTCTACATTTTTAAAAATTTGTGAATTATTTTTTAATAAATCTTGTTATTTTCTCTTATCCCTAGATTTATTCTTTTATTTATATTTTTATATATTTTGAACCATAAAAAAAATTATTGCAAACTTGTTTTGCTTATCACTACAAAAAAATAAAATATCAATAAAAATTAATTTATTTATAAATTATTTAATTTTATTAGTGAAAGTAATACTTTTTTTATTTATAACGAAAATTCAAAAACAGAAATTTAAACAAGCCTATTGGCAGATATATCCTGGACAAAAGATCCGGATAATATGTCAGGAATATTGCGAGCACTATGCTGGCACAGTCGGTCTTGTCATAAAGTAGGTGGCACAAAAGGTGCGTTACAGCAGGGACACGGTCCGCCGCTCGTTGTGCCTGTAACGTGCCAGACACGTTTGTTATCTGGGAAATTGGGACATGGTCACAAATTGGGACATTTACCTTAGTATGTTTTAATAAATAAACAACAATTTGTTGAAATAAACCTACATATTAACAATAAAATTAAAAAAAACTGTGGTGCCTTGAGGTTATATCAACTACGCACATTTTCTTTAAGCATTAATTATAAAAAAAATATACAGTTTAAAGAAAAACTGGAAAATTAGTTTCTTTCTATGGAATCGACGAAATGAATAGAAAAAAAAATTCCTTTAAAAAATTGTTTGTTTTCAAGAAAATTACGAATTAATTGCTTGCTTTGGAATTGAGCAATACTTTTATCTTTAAATTCAATTGTTCACTTAGTATAATCATAAAAATATTTAAAAATTAATAACAAAATGATTTTAAAATTGTTTAAAATTGAAAATATATTATTATTATTAATTTTATTAATTAAAATAAAATTAAAATAAAATATTAAAATAAAACCTAAAAAAATAATATTTTTTTTTATTTTGATAATATTATTGACTCACCACTTTCTTTTGTTTTTCAATCAGGTTGCAATAAAGTAAATTTGAGGCTATTTTATTAATTTAATTTTTATTAAAAACTGATTTAAATACGCAATAAAAAAGGAAATCCTTCTACAGAAATGTGTAAATGAATTTTCTTGATTTTTTTATGCAAAAACCTCATTTTCGATAAATTGGCGCTTGACCCCTTTTGTCATTCTACCCTTCATATATTCTCAAACAAGATTGAGTTCTGTTTGTTTATCAAACGTAACTTGTCAGGATTGAAATATTAATCAAATATCATTTATAAATATTGAGAAAAATTGAGTGGGTGTTTCGCTTAAGGGATGGAACTTTATTAATTTTTTTTTTTGTCAAATGTCGTATCAGTTTCGAGACACTCGGTGAAACTTATGAATTGTTTCTTTTTGTTGCAGAATGGGATTCGATGGAAGGAGTTGCGTCCTACGCGCTTTATGTGAAGCGTCCCAGAGACTTATGCCGAAAGGAAACACTCTCGTAGAAGAAATGATGAGGATCGCTTTTTCGTAAGGCGTTTTTCAAAGATAAACGTATTATATATATATATATATATATATATATATATATATATATATATATATATATATATATATATACAGAAAGAAGGTCGAAAAATGGGGGCGAATGTTGTCGCGCGGTGCGTAGTTGGGGTTTCTCGTTTATTTTCCCTTGGGACATGATGGAAGGTTTATTACGCGACAAAACTTGAGACAGGAAAAAAAAATATTTAACGCCTATACCAAAGAAAAAAAAGTTTTCAATTTATAATGATATCTGTTATATTTGAAAAATCATATTTCCAAGAAATATAAACGAAATGACGGGGTACTGTACCCGTTTATTGGCCCAAAGGGGTGCAATTAAATTTCACCACGTACTTTTTAATTTTGCATCATTTATTTCTCAATTTCAATAGAATTTTAAAACAGCTTACGTTTATTTTCGGCACCATATAACTCATATTAAATTTATTCAACAAATGTAAAATAAAAATGAAATTTTATATTTATCATTTTATTTGGTCATTCAAGTAACACGAATATTCAATAATAATCAATAGCATATGAGAATTCGAGATCGTTTTTGAATAACGCACTAAAGGTTTCGATTTTGACAGTAAAATATAAATTAGAGGTGATCAATTACGGTGCTCGTAATCTCAATTTTCTCATTATTTCTTCGATTAAAAGAGAAAGATGATGTAATTTATCACTTTTTTTTAAAGTGAAGTTTTAAACGTGGCGAGAATTGAATTACAGTTAAGATTAATAAAAAAAAGAGTTTAAATATCATTATTATGCATATAAAATGTATGTACTTTTTGGGAAAAAAAAAGAAGGTTTTTGTCTTGAAAAAGATAAATGCTTATACGGAAATTTGTATTAAATTTCCTATATGAAAAAAAAGCAAATTAACACAGAAATAATTTAATTTAATAAATTGAATTAATATTTTTTTTCCTCTAAATTGCTTTTTTACTCAGAGGACATTAATTTTAAAAATATATTAAATGCCTCTTTTGCGTCAGGATCATTTTTAAAACGGTTGAATCATTTATCTCTTCTAGCAATAAAAAGTTACAATTTAAGTAGATAGTTCCGTTTTTAGCGAGACATGTAAAATAAATGTCACTCTCAATGAAACAAAACAATTTTTTTTCCCTGAAAAGATCATTGAAATATTTAAAATATATTAAATAATTCACTTTTCAAGTGACAATAAAAGACAATAAAATATAGAAAAAATAAATTATTCGATGAAAAATATTTTTGAAAAAATTTTCTTCAAAAATTATTGGTGATCATATAAAAAAAAATGTGTTGGGATTTATTTTTTTTAAGATAAAAAAAAGGGCAATCGGTTTCTTTTTTTTTTTGTATGTGTATAGGAAATTGTAGTCTTTGAAATTCTGGATACCCTTCGATTCTTAAGGAGAGTCTGACGTTGCAGGTTACCACTGAGAAAGGTATTCTCATTCGAACCAGATGAACACCACACGTACACGAATGCTCATAAAGCCGGTCACGAGGGACAAAACTGCCTGGCCATGTTCCCTGGATGCACTTTCTCTCTTATAGACATGGCCCTCGGGAAATATAACACACCCGAAGATCCACCTTACAATCCAGATGCCTCAGAACGGGTCACCGAAACTTCGGATAGAAGAAGAGCTCCGGCAAAAGAACGATACAACATGAAGTAACATGACAAGGGTGGAAAATGATACACTTTTCAACCCGCTGGGTTGCCGCGACTCCTTTTTCATAGACAAAATGAACACATCGCTTTTTCTTCAACGCTATTCTATATACATACCTATACTGACACAAGAGATAGGGATATGAAAAAAAAGTGATATTTTCATTTTTCACCTTGCTCAAAATCTTTAATTATTATTTATATAATAAATTCTTTCACACACAGAAAAAAAATATTCTTGTTTTGAAAAGATTCTTCTTCTTCTTATTATTATTATAATATTAAAATTATTAAAATTTTATCTAAATTTTGAGGTTATGTTCGTTTCTAGGTTAGGGGAATTTTAACTTATGTTTATCGGATATAGCCTCAAACCCAACGGTCCCTTGACCTATGTCCTTGAATTTTGAGGTTATGTTTGAACTAATGCCTTGAATTCTGGATACCTATGCCCTAGAATTTTGAGGTTATGTTTAAACTAACCTAACCTAACCTTGTCAAAAACATGGGTTGGGTACAATTGACATGGAATGATCCATACTGGTGGCAGCGGCGAAATCTTTTTATAGTATTCATATATATATTTTTTTTAAATAGTAAATTTAAGGTCATGTAATTATTGTGATTTCAGATGTAAATATTCTCCACAGGTTTTCTCGCAAAATATACCTACTTCATAAATTGAGCTAGAATTTTTGTGGAGAATTTAAAATTCTTGTTATAAAATAAAAGTTGTAAAAAAAGTTGTAAAAATATATATATAATAAAATATATATAATATCCTTTAGTGATTAAAAATATGGTGAAAATTTAAAATTATTAACACGTTAACAGGCAATGAAAAAAAAATTTGCAAAAAAAAAATGTTATTAAATTTATATAATAAACACGTATGAAATTCATAAAGTTGCACATTATAGTAAAGTTAAAAAAAAATAAATAAAATGTAATTTTTAAATATCCTTTATAACAAAAATTATTATTATGATAGTTATTATTTAATAATTATTATTTAATAAAAACGATTAATAATAAAAATCATCATCAATTAGATATTGAAATCACCATTAATATAATTATTTTCGGCTTTTTTTATTATTTGTAACCTTGAAAAATTAACAAATAAAAATTTGAATTACAATTTTTAATTCAATTTGAAAAATACCATATAAATATTTGTAACTTATTTACATAGCTTCAAATAATATGGTTTTTTCAATTATTTATCCATATGTTAACCCCTTCGTGCCCAGGCAAAACTGAGCATATAAAAAAACGAAACTAAAGTGGTTCCTATAGTTTTTGGGGTCGCTGATTACGAATCTGGTGTTAGTTTTTGAAAATTCAAAATGGCGGATTCAATATGGCGGACGAAAAATCAAAATTGTTCGGATTCGCTTAAAAATGGCCACTCGGGGGTTTTCGGGGTCGCTGATTACGAATCCGATATTAGTTTTTCAAAATTCAAAATGGCGGATCCAATATGGCGGACGAAAAATTAAAATTGTTCGGATTTGCTTGAAAATTGTCACTCGGGGATTTTCGGGGTCGCTGATTACGAATCCGATACTAGTTTTTTAAAATTCAAAATGGCGGATCCAATATGGCGGACGAAAAATCAAAATTGTTCGGATTCGCTTGAAAATGGTCACTGGGGGGTTTTCGGGGTCGCTGATTACGAATTTGGTATTAGTTTCTCAAAATTCAAAATGGCGGATCCAATATGGCGGATGAAAAATCAAAATTGTTTGGATTCGCATGAAAATGGTTACTCGGGGGTTTTCGGGGTCGCTGATTACGAATCCGATATTAGTTTTTCAAAATGACGGATGCAATGTGATGGACGTATTTTTAAAAGTTATTAACAAAAAAAATCCAACGCACTTCTTGCGGAACCTCAAGGGTGGTGTGGAAGGCCGTTACAGACATAAAAAAATAAACTTCTATTGCTGTTATACTTTTAACTTATTTTAATTTGTTTGATTTAAATTAGTTTCAATCGATTGTTAACGATTATTAAAAATTGATCTGCAACATTGGATTTAAGACTCAATTTTTGAAAACTAATACCAAATTCGTAATCAGCGACCCCGAAAACCCCCCAGTGACCATTTTCAAACGAATCCGAACAATTTTGATTTTTCGTCCGCCATATTGGATCCGCCATTTTGAATTTTGAAAAACTAGTATCGGATTCGTAATCAGCGACCCCGAAAACCCCCGAGTGACAATTTTCAAGCAAATCCGAACAATTTTAATTTTTTCGTCCGCCATATTGGATCCGCCATTTTGAATTTTCAAAAACTAACACCGGATTCGTATTCAGCGACCCCAAAAACCCCCGAGTAACCAGTTTCAAGCGAATCTAAAATGTTTTAAAAATTCGTCATTTTTCATAATTATTTATATTTTTTTCTGAACAATATAAATTTTTAAACAAAATGTGAGTTCCATTTTTTGAAAGCTCTATCCTTCCTGAAAAAAATGCACCAAGTTTGAATAAAAAATATTTAATCTGTTTAGAGTTCTGGAGGTTTTTGTAGGTGGGACATATATGTCCCATGGGCACGAAAGGGTTAATTGATAGTTTTGAGTATATACATAGATTGTTTAAAATAATGATTAGGTACTTCAATGTTTAAAAAATTTCAAAAAGCTAAACATTTTCTTACAAAAATTTTATAGATAATATTTTTTAACTTGGAAAAATATTATGGTATATTATGGTAAATAATAAAACCAGACTGGGTTGTTAGAGCGTCATAATAAATTTCCACACGATACTCGTTAAACAGAGGTTTCTGTGATCGCGGATTACGAATCCAATGTTAGTTTTTTCAAAATTAAAAATGGCGCATCCAAAATGGTGGAAAAATATATAAAAAATAATTAGACTAGCTTAAAACTAGTTTGGCGGGGGTTACAAATTTCAATTCAACATTTTCTCAAAATTTCAAAAGAAAATTGATTTTTTTTTTTTTGAAAAGTGTAACCATGATAAATTTTCACACGGGATTTTGAGAGCAAATAGAGTTTTTGAAACAATGTCAATTGTTCTGAACAATATGGTAGATTCAATATAAACGACAATAGTAGATAATAACATTATTTATTATTGTCATCTCAACATCGACACAATTTTAACGTGTTTTTAACACTGACAACATCAATTTTATGAAAAAAATTTTCAACAAAGAAATATGAGAAACCTTTACAAAAAAAAACAACTATGACGTTAAAAATGCCAGTGACCTTGTGAAAACTTTGTTATTATTGTGAGCCACATTGACAAAGTTTTTAAAAAGTATTTAAGTAAAAAATATTTCTGCGGTGAATGAATGGGTCAATGAAATTATCCTATATAAACCAACTGAGTATAGTACTTGGGAATAGGTGAATGAAGAAGGTGTGAAATTGACGGTGGCGATAATTCCTGGCTTTATATCCATTATAGTTATCGATGTATGTTGCATACATGAGACTGGGCAGATTGTAATTTTTCCGGTGAATAAAATTCAGTAAAAGTGAACAGATATCGATTCAACGGTGGCTCCGCCCTAGTTTGCAACACGTCGGTGACGGTTGTGGCGTATGCCGCATATATACAACAAAACTCTTTTTTTCTTTTTTTTTTTTGCAGCAACATCACTGATTTTCCATGGTCAGCGAGAATGATCCTTTGTTAAAATCACCATCCTAAAGCTTTGATACATTTCATTCTGATGTTCCCTATTTTTGTGGCTCATGAAAATATCTCATATTACATATGGTAAAACAATAAAGAGCGTTATAGGACAATGAAACAACAAACAAAAACAATCAACTGTTTTATTCTGATAGAGAATTTTTTAATAATTTATTGATAAAATTTTTTTTTTTTTTGTAAACATTCAATAAAATAAAATTTCAAAAAAAAGAATGTTTTTTAATTTTAAATATTTTATTTTGCTAAATAAGTTCTTGAATATATTAAAAGAGTATAGCAAAGAAAACTTTTAAAGCGTATAAGTACAGAAAATTTAATTGGGTATATATTATAGTAATGAGGTGTTGAGCATTAACATAACAATTTTCATATACGGTTTAACTTTCTAACTATCATCGAATAAACGAGATAGATGAAACTTTTAACGATAGTGCCTGTACAGGAATATCTTGAAAGTAAAAAATAAAGTTCTCGTTCAAGTTTCAAAATCAATTAATAATAAAAATCAAAACAAACATTTAACTATATAAAATAATTGAAAATAACGAAAATATATAAACAATTTGAAAGAAGAGAAAAATATTGTAATCGACACTTCCCATTGATAAAATGTTTATTCAAACGTCCGTGCAATATAATGTTAACTCAGAAAGTTCTGCTATAGGATGTCTTAATTGGAAAATTTCGTGAAACATAATTCTTATTTAATTGTTTGTGCAATATAAAGTCAATTCAAGTTGAGTTCAATAAAATTTTAATTCTACACCAACAGAAAAGATTTCTTTGAAACAAAGAAATCATTTTTTTTAAATTTACTTTTTGAATCAAAGGTAAAATTTGTTTGAATTAAAAAAATATTTCATTGCTTTTACGAAAATGAAATTTTTGAGTGTTTTGAATCAATGAAATTTTTTCTTTGATTTTTTTAACCTAAAGAAAAATTTCTTTGAATCAAAGAAATATTTGTTATATCTGCGCATTTATTTTAATCGCGGTCTGAATTAATTAAATTTTTATTCTTAATTAATCAGAAAAGGTGATAAAGAAAGGTAAAAAGATATATGGGTAAGTCCACGTCAGAAATATCAGAATCTGCAAGTAGTTCTTCGATTTTAATGATACTTGGTAAAATTATAGCTTTATATAAGAACAATGTGTGAGAGAAAGGAATTTTTAAAATATCTAAAATTGTAGGAGTTATATCACTTTTAATTTTGATACTGCATTTTTTTCTTTCCTTTATATCTCGGTCAATTTTCAACCGATTTTGATGAATCAAAAACGATTTTTTTCAGAAAATTACGTACCTATTTTCAGAAAATTTTAAAATAAAAATAATATTTTGTTATTTAAATAGAAAAAAGTAAAAAACAAAATTTTTTAAATATTTTTTTTCAATTTCGACCTCTTTTTTTAATTTTTAAGTTTTTAATAATATTCCTTTTTATTTTATCTTTAATTTAAAAAAAAATTCATCCTGGAGACTTTTTTAGATCTCGTGATATCGTTCTTTAAATATCCACATCTCAAGAAAACTAGGATCCAGATTTGTGTTTCTACTTTCATTTGTTTTATAATATTATTGTTAAAAACTAGAAACTTTCGCGTAATAATGTTTTCATTTTTAAATTACTTGACTAAAACAAGTGAAAATTTAAGCAAATCAATATTTTATTAATAGATTTGAAGCAAAGTTTTTATTTTTTGTAAGATTTATAATTTAAAATAAATTGTAATGAAACCTTAACAATGCAACCTGAAATTGTAGCTGAAGTTTTTAGCGCTTTCTTTTAGAGGATTCTAAAACAAATAGTTATTCATAACCATAAAAAATTTCAACAAACAAATGAAAGTAATGATAGAAGCAAGTCCTGCGGTTTTCAAATTGATGAAGACTTATAATACTTAAAGGACGATATTACGAGATCTAAAAAAGTCTCCAGGATGAATTTTTTTTTAAATTAAAGATAAAATAAAAAGGAATATTATTAA